ACCCTGAAAAGGAAGAAGCGTGTACAGAAAATGGATGGATGGATGGATGGATGGAACTAGCCTAACAGTCCTGTTTTTGGGTTGTGAGAGGAAACCGTGGTACCCGGAGAAAACCCACACATGCATGAAGAGAACATGCTAACTCTACTCAGAAAGGTCTGGGGTTGGAATTCGATCTGGCAACCTTCTTGCTGAGAGGCGACAGCTCTTCCAACTGAGCCACCGTGCTGTCCAATAATATAGTTTACGCTGAATCAACTTTGATAAAAAGGAAGAAATTCAGATACTTCATCAAAACACCCCAGGTTTACACATTTTTGGAGCTGCGATAAAAGTCACTGCAAAGGCATAATGTTAAATTGGTCATCTTAAATATTTTACTGTTGTTTCAAATACAACGTACAGATTTTGGAAAATCAAAAATTTCACCAACAATCCTAACAACACCACGTAACTTGGGCTGTGTTTACTGACCTATCATGCTGCTTGTGTACATGAAATTTACATTATCATTACATTAACATCACTTGATGAATGGAAATATCAGATGAAAGAAAGTAATGTAATTCATAAAGTGTGACAGGAAAAGCAGAACATAGCAAAAGCAAAATAATAATCCCAGTTTATATCATCGTAGTACTTCTCATTTTTTTGATATATCTGCAACACGTGTCACCGTACCTGTTAGTAACAGATTTTCACTAAGAATAAAGCAAAACAATGTGAGGATTACATTACAAATATCATTCCTGTCAACCACTTTAATCCCAAATCAACTTGACAATAAAACTCTAATCTACACAGGTTGTACTGCATTTTTACTCCCGGCATAAATGGCGTGTCAGAACAACGTGCTTGTAAAATTTGTGCAAGTTTAAACACATTAGCTCTTAGGCTGGTTTCAAATGTGGGATTTAGATCAGGAAAATGAAAACAAAACAAAAAAATAAACGTAGAGCAAATTATGGTTTTGGTTTGGTTTCTGTTTAAACTTTTAAAGCATTACAGATTAGGTTTTACAGTATAAGATTAAAAACACTGAGCTGGAAGTTTATATTAACTGGAGATAACTGGATTATAAAACTGGTCATTTATAAACAAAAAAGATTATTTTGAAAAAAGAAAAAAAGCACAAATTTTGAATTTAAAGCCTAGCATAGAATTATAGTTATAGTTGTTTTAGTCAAACCTTGCCATGGATATTATGTGGGATTGTCTACAACAGTGCAGGATCTCACAAGATATAGTAGTATTTGAATGTGTTAATATATAATAAAAGTATAAGTATATAAGTATAATATATAAGGATGAATCTCAGCTACTACCATACCAAATTTTAGCTAAATATCTGTAAATGTGACATGGTTAAAGTCCTTTTTGTGTTGGTTAAGAATGATTAGCTGTTAAATTTTGAACTGAATTGACTTTAAAAAGTTGATCCGTTGTGAATGTTATTCTATTATTTACATTTAGAAGGTTTACCTAAACATGTTTAGAGGTTATTTTGCTAACAGACAAACTGGGCTGGCTCCACACACACTGTAAGCTACAACCACACTGATTTTGGCTACAAACAGCCCAGCTTTTAGCTACAACCACACCAACCTTTAGCTATAACCACACCGATATTAGGCTACAACCACACAGATTTTAAGCTACAACAACACCAGCTTTTAGCTACAACCACACCGATATTAGGCTACAACCACACCGACTTTAGGCGACAACCACACCAATATTTAGTTACAACCACACAGATTTTAGCTACAACCAATATTTAGCTACAACCACACAGACTTTAGCTACAACCACACCAATATTTAGCTACAAACAAACTAGCTTTTCGCTACAACCACACCAATATTTAGCTACAACCACACCAACTTCAATATACAACCACACAAAACTTTAGCTATAACCCTACCAATTTTAACTACAATTATGACAACCAGACCAACTTTTAGCTAAAACCACACCAACATATTGCTACAACTACATACACTTTTAGCTACAATCACATAAACATTTTGCTAGAACCAACAACAATCACACAAACATTTAGCTACAATCACACTGACCTTAACTTCAATAACACTAAYGTTTAGTACACCATCTCCAAAATTTTTGTAGCAGTTTGTTTTTTTTTTTGTTCCAAATGTTAATTTATTGTACATCTTCCATAATATAGTCAATGGTTTCCTTCTGAGTGTTCCACTGAAATTTGCCCTCCATGTTTGATGTTTACTATCTAATATGGACAACTTGTTGAGTATTTTCTCTTCCTTAAACTGGTTGCATTTCTTGTTGGCGTTTCAGCCTGAATTTACTGTTAAAAAGAATCCACTGAACAATCACAGAAACCAGGACATGAGACCTGCAGAGCCCAGACTATGGTTTCCACAGCCAACTAACTGCCAGCAAAGCTCCTGTGAGTACAATCTGAGCTATGTGGTGTTATTGATTCTGGTGGAGGTTTGGCAAGAAAAACAGCTGCAATGCAGTCAAATAAAAGCAAAACACACACACTGTCCACTGCTTTCACTGTTTCACTTCTCCTGAACTGAACCACTTTATCTCTCTTCTGCTAATTGTTTGCATCTAAGTACCAACAGTTTTTAAATCACACACACACAACAAAAACCAACAGGGATTTGAGCGTATCCGTAACAGGAAGAAGGGGCAGAAACCAAATGTCTTTCCTGCTTAGATCAGCAGGGGTTGGAAGGGGGGGAGAAGAAAACCTTTTTAACCATCTCCTGCCATGGCTCAGATGAACTTAATTAAAAACACTCACACTAAATCATGTTTCCATTAAATGAAGGTTTTTAAGGCAGCAGTACGCAGGTTCTTATTGACCTAACTAGTTTGACATAAAGCTGGGAACATTTAGATTCATTAATAATTAGAGGGCTGAGATCTAACAGCAGRTTTTAGAACTTTATAAATAAAAAAAAAACACAGCATTTCCATGGATTCTGATGTTGCAATGTWTTTCATTGGTTTGTTTTCAACATTCCACTTATTCTGACTCACTCTTCAGCAAACAGAGCTCCTGTTTTACCACAAGAAGTGTACTTACTGAGCTGAAATTTATCTATCTGTGAAGTCAGACAGCTCCAAATTAAGTAAACGGTTACGCTGGTTCATAAAGTACACATAACCTAAGTTTTTGTTTTTAACTTTTACAGCAGCTGTTAACAGAGTCAATGAAAGTAATGTGAAGGTTTTCAACAAGTAATACAAGTTGTCAACACCACAGCAGCGACCGTTACATAAACGAAGCTCGTTAGCTCAGGATGCTAAATAAAGCTAGCTGCTGCTGCTAACGGTAAACGACTAAAAAWATAAAAAAGTTTTGCAAACCTGACTGGCTTTATAAAATTGTTTCTTCAAACCCGCTACAGACATCTTGAACCCCCGTTGCTGTCCTCGGCTTCCAACTGAGATGTAAAAAGGGTCACGATATATTCCAAAAGTTAACAATTCAGTTTGTCTTAAAAAAAAAAAAAAGATGGGCCAGTGCAAGGGGAAAAAAAAGGGACTGGGAGAAATCATAGGTCTGCACAGCCGTCACTCCAAGTCGGGACACGCCAGCTGACCACGTCCACGTCGAAAGTAATTTTTACAACTGTCTCAACAAATAATAAAAAAAAAAAGGTCCAAGCAAACCCAAATAATGACTGTAACCTGAACTCTAAATGCATCTATACACATTTATAATTCTGCAACAACCACAAGGAGGAAAAAAAAAAATCCGAGTTTTCGTGAAGGAGGCACAATTTGGTGCACATTACCCCCTGCTGGAGACATCAGGGTAGTGCAAAGGTTGTGCTGCATTCAAGGACAGCTAAAATCGTCGAACTTCTTAAATTTGTGATTTTAAATTTTCGTAGTTTAAAATTATTGTTTGTTTTTGTTTTAATTTTGCTTCCCCCCTCAAATATGGAGATAGTTCAAGTTTAAGTTGTTGTTTGTTTAAAGTTGTTTTTTTAGTAAGGTGCAAACAAGATTTTTTTTTGTTTTTCTTTCTGTACCCTTTTCATTCAGTAATTGCTTTACAGGCTGGCTACTTTGTTTTTTTACTGGACACTTTGTTCACATTCTTAACTCTTTCGGTTTACATTGTGCCCATGAGGATAGGAACCTTGGGGGTGGATCTAGATTCAGATCTGAGCTTCACAAAACATTTTAATAAAACTGAGTTTTGTCAAATTAGGAACATTGCCAAATAAGATCAATGATGTCTTTAATGGATGCTAAAACCATCATTCCCACTTTTTTTCTCTTGATTACTGCAATTCTCTGTTTGCTGGTCTGCCTAAAAAGATTCTTAAACATCTCCAATTAGTACAAAATACAGCAGCTAGAGTCCTCAGTGGAACCCAGAAATCTGATCATGTCACTCTTGTTCTTGCTTCTTCAATTTAGTTCAATTCAAAAATACTTCATTGATCTCAGAAGAAAATTAGGTGTTGCTGTAACTCATTTAACTAAAAACTTATTGTAGATGCTGATGGCTGTGGGCAGGAAAGATCTTCTGTAGCGGTCTGTATTACAGCGAAGTTGAAGAAGCCTCCGACTGAAGACACTTTGTCTTTCTATGACAGTCTGATGAAGAGGATGGTCAGGGTTGTCCACAATGTTGTAAAGAACCCTGCTTTATGAGATTAATACCAGCTTAATCTCATAAAAGCATGTTCCACAAG